ACGGCTCACGGCATTCATCTATAGCCATACAGAACCCAATCTTTTGTCTCTGATGTGCCTGTTGTTGCCACGTGTGAACCCCACCTTTTTGCCCTAATAAACATGCGGTACAACACTTAGAGGAGTTATTTCTGCTTTTGTCATAAAGTAGCAACATCAATGCTGACAAAGATATGCAGCTTTCTATACATATTCAGTCAAAGGAATAGATAAAACAAGGTCTCTGCAATATAGCATACACAGAAGGAATGTATTATACAGTCATGGCCAAAAATATTGGCACCCCTGCATTGTGCACCACTTTGCCCAGAATGTTGTTGCATTACAAACGTTTAGGCATTCTCATGTTTATTTCTTTTGTTTGTATTGGTATGACACAATAAAGGGGAGAAACAAAAAGCCAAATCTGACAACTGGCAAGTTATCAAATTACCCAGTCTTGACTCTTAAACTAAACATTGACCTGCTTGTGGCCCTTTTAAATGAACCCATATCTAACCTCTCAAACCTCTCTGATTGCGAAAATATCAATAGCATAGTCCTGGAAGACATCGTCGGTTTCCTTAGCCACTACCATAGATAAACATTCATAGAACATGGTTCATGAAAAATTGTCCAGTTCTGTAAAGGATAAACAAGAACAATTCAACAGGGTCTGGAATCTTTGTATCCACTTTCTGCATTTGTAAATTAACTCCTTATTGGTCGCTTTTATTGCCAGTCTACTGGAATGCCAGATTTGTTTTTCTCTGGGCTTTAAAACTAAAACTGTACTCCAGAAACTTGCAACTTTGTTTATCTCCTTTCTCTCTCTTCCCTGCACCTTAAATGGCACTGTATATCTCTACTCAGAATTTGCACTGTTTTGCCTCAATGGTCATTCTCAATACCTTCTGCAATTGCAATGTGAAATGATGAGCCATATTCTTTGTAATCTACGTCTATTTATTGTAATCCTTTAATGAAAAACTATTGAAAATAAATAATGATTATTACAGACTATAATTAGTGAACATCTGTTCAGCATTCAGGATCAAAGTGCTGACTTATTATTTTGGATGTGGATGTTTTGTTCCACAGGAAAATGCCAGACAGTTTCAAGAATCTGTAGCAGTTCATGAAGAACAGGCAGTTAGGGATAGCATCTCTCACCATGGTACTTTAAAGTTTGTCATTGATGCAACTGCTTTAGCAACCAAATTGTGGTTAGTACTTTGTGACAGGAGTAGAATGTACACAGCTGTACCAGTTTTTAAACCCCCTTGCAGGACCATCTCAATAGCATCATGGGCCCCTGGGCAAAGTAATGCACTGGGGCCCCTAACAGCCTACCACAATTTACACACTTACTCTCAAGAATTAAAGTATAAATAGTTAATAGAATTAAACATATATTTATTAGTACTTTTAATACAATCAATTTTCTATTTCAATAGTGTTTATTGGTTTTAACACGTAAGGAACAGGCAAGTGGTTTGCCCACACAGGGGCTAGCAATCACATTCATAACAGGATTAGGCACACAGAGGCAAAGATTGCATAACAGTGGTAATGTAAAGCAGTCAGAAACGGACACAGCAGCAGTAATGTAATACACCTCATAGGGTCCGGAGTCATAAGACCAATCTCAGGAGCAGCGGGACTACCCATCAGAGTGAGCCCAAACTGGCTCGGGGAAGAATGGGAAAGGTGTACATCAACCATGGTTCCCAGACTTTAAGGAACTTAGCGAATACTAGACATCTGCTCATTGAGCATCATGGCAGTCATATGATCTCTCAACCCTTGAAAGGGGACAGATAGTTTTTTCCAGGCTTGGGCTATCGTTCTGGTGGCTGAAAAGAAAAGGTAGGAGGCAAGTCTCCGCTGATGAGCATATAAACCAGGTATGGGGCAATGTAGTAAAGCAAACTCAGCCTCTCTACGTATGGCTAAGTGAAATAAAGTAAAGAGGAGGCCAAACACACAGGATCAAAACCTGACTAATTGAGGGAATGTCCACCAAGTATGCAAAATATCCCCTCCTGGCCACACAACCCTGGAAGCAATAGTCACTGTAAGATGCGTTTGCACAGGTAATATAGGCTAGAACCCAGTACCAACGGAACAGTACCTTATATGCCATGGGAATAGAGCGTTATAATGGGAGCATGGGGCAGAAAAGACAACATGAGACCCCCAGAGTACCGCACAGAGTTCCAGACTTGTAGACTGTGATGCATGAGCGGACTCAGTGCTGCCGGACGGAGGTTAGAAGGCAGCCAGAGAAGCATCGACATGGAAGCAGGGGCACCCTTGGGAAGTTCCAGGAGAACCTGTAGGGGGACATCAACTGAGGCATGTAGTAAGGACAGCTGAGAGATTTGAGCCACCTGATAGTATTTAGCTATCTTAGGTACCCCTAGTCCCCCCTGTAGCCTGTGCACAAAAAGAGTTGCTTTAGAGACCCTAGGGCATTTATTAGTGCAGATAAAATGTAGGATCCTTAATAAAATCAATTTTAAACAATAACAAAATGCCATAAATCAAAGACTAATCAACACAAAGGACACAGTACGGGAAGGGAAGGGCACAGTACGGAGGGGAGATCAGGAGGGCACAATACAGGGTAAGGAGAACACATTACAGGTTCAGGGACTGTTGGCCAGTATGATGTAATACACAATTATCATAGGGGGCCCCCATGCACCTGGGGCCCATGGGCAATGCCCAGGGGGTGCCCATGCATTAAGACGGCCCTGCCCCCTTGTGCATTCACTATGAAGAAGCAAACCAAAATCAATATATTCAACTTAACAGCTTTTTTTTTTTTGCAAACATAGTTTTCACATACCTTAGTTTTACCTTATCCTTTTGTTTTGTTCAGGGAAAGCTGAAAAATAACAGTAGGGGGGGCTGCCAATGAGGCCTCAGAAAAACAAGCACATAGCTTGAAATATTACTGTTACTGTATACAAAAATTAAATATGGCCAGAAACAAATAATATTCATACAAAATTCATTACATCCTAAGCACTACCCTAATCCTTAAAAAACCCTAAACTAGAATTACAGCCTCCCAGTTAAAAAATGTGCTGCGGTACCTAATTATGAGTGCATTTTCATTTATAGTTTTCTCTTGGACCTCTACAAAGTTCCACAAATACCTATTTAGCTTGTCAAGTCCACTGAAAAACAGCTTCTTGTAATGGTGTGTCAACCATGTAGCACTGCTCCTGAATTAAAAAGAGTTGTCAGATGCAATTCTGTAGGAAACATACATTAGAATACACCCCAAAGAAAAAAATATAAATACAGTATACTGTATATGTATATACAGTATAGATTTAGAGAGAGAGAGAAAGAGATACCTACACAATGCAATAGGGTAAATACTCCATCATGTAAATGTACTGTATATCAATATGAACAATATGCAATAGATGAATGCAGCAGTTACTACATAATGTATACCGTACAAGGCCTATACAAAAAAAACAGATAAATACCTAGACAGTCAAACAAGGTTCCCCACAGGTGTTCAAACAGACATGATCATATTTGTGTAGAAACCAGGTCCAAACAACCTACTTGCCATCCAAAGCATTCACCAAAAACAGAATGTCAAAAATAAAAAAGTGATGGTAAATATATAAAAGGTACAAAGTATACAATGATTAGCATAGCAATATATTTCAAAATGTTATGATGATAACTAAATATGTGGATGTGTGTTACATAAGGAGGAAAGATTAAAAGGGAAAAGTCCCTCAATGGTAGCATTATGTGCAAATTATCAAAGTGAGGTGACTCATGCATTGGCATACTCCCAGGATAATCAATTACCAATCTATAGCCATGTCCAAGCCATCAGACAAGGGGGCGACACCAAATGCTGTGTATTGGCATGTGCCACTTCCTCTGGGACTCCTGATTATATGTTGTATATTTGCATAGGTATATTTAAATAAATATTTTGAATTTTTGGGTGGTATCCTTATGAATTGCATTTTGGGAGTTTTTTAAAATTATTTTATGGGTTAAGGACAGGATGTTATAACATTTTTTTTTTGATTATTTTTTGAATTTCTGGCCAAATTTTGGCATTATATATAATTTTATATACATGAAAAGTGATCTTTTTGAGCTGTGTCATTCATTTGTTAGGGTTTTAGTGTCAGTTTGCAGTGATGGTGCAGCTCCACTGTATTACAATCACAGTAAGGGAACTATGCTATAACAATCATACAAATGAGAATACCCCCGAGAAACCTAACTAGGTGAAACGGCTTGCCAATGACATTGCTAAAATGTTAGGACTTAAATAGGAGAATATATTTTTTTTCTGTATTGTAAGCACTGCCTCTGAAGAGCTCCTAGAGCCAATTTTTAATTCCTGCCCACATAGGATAACTGTCTTCTTGTGCAATTCTGCTCCTATTCCAGTTGACTGGGTAGCCTGTAAAAATACAAAGCAAGCTGTGCTTGGGTAGTAATAATGAGGAACTAAAGAGTGTATAAATACCTTGTGCGCTATCTGCCCACCTACACTATAATGTTGTTATGTGCTGCTGCTACCACCTACTATGTGTTCCCACATCCAAAAGAATATGGGACCTGATCCCTGAAGAAGTCATGTGATCTATGAGGCTATGCTGGGAGACATCACATCCGGTACTGATCAAAACTAGAAATCAGTGTGAATTACTGTGAATTGCAGTTTTTCCTGATCCTTACTGAGTAACACTAATATGCTGACTATTTGGCTGTACTTATGACTGCATATATTGTATTAATAAAGGTGTACATTATTTCAAATATTATTGCACTATTGGTGATGTTTGTTTCTTTCCCTGGGAGTGTCACTCTTCAGTATGGAGATGTAAAACCGGACCTACTAAAGGAAACTGTCCACTGCTTTCCCCCCACTTGAAGGATGATATCCTAGAAGAAGAGGTTGATTTCCTTTGTATCCACAGTGAGGGTTGACAGGCCTGTGACCTATATAGTTTAATTTGTATGAGTCCAATATCAGAGGTGAGCATATAAAGTGCACAGAGCTGGACCAAGGTGTATCACGGTCATTTGGGAGCAGGGGCGGACTGACAACTCATGGGGCCCCCCGTGCAATAGGGGATCATGGGACCCCTGTGTCCTTGCCCAAACTCAAAAAAGCATATGAAAAAGGTACCAGGGGCATGTCATGGGGCCCCCTACTAGTGCCCGAGTTTCCAAATGGTCAATCCGCCCCTGTTTGGGAGTGTGTTTGCACGACAGAAGTGGACACTGTAGCCCTTGGATATTTGGACTTTGTGCACAGATTCATTCTTATACGTATCTGGATGGGTTAAATTGAGGATGTTACCTTCAGTTACATTACCCTTGTTGTGATTGCTCGCACTATGTATGTACCTTTTGGGAGAACTAGTCACAAAAGGATCTGTGGTATCATCACCATTATTTTATTTTTGGTCATTTTTGTGGTTCACTTTTAATAGAGGTAATAATGTTCAAATTCAATTCATATATAACAAATTTAGTTTTATTTAATTGAATATATAATTTATTTTATATTTCTTTTGATTTAAATTTTTTTGGCACTATTTAGCAGCACTACACCCGTTTATTATTACTAATAGTGAGGAACTGCTGATTTCCATGGCAAGAAGAACAATTTGCAACCTTCTATTATATAGATATGTGTAACTGATAATAATATGATGTGTGGGCCAGCCCTGCCACCCTAGGCTGTGGTCTATGTTGGCTATGCATAAATTTGGTCTTGAGTGTTGTGTGGTCTGTTCCCTTAGATGCGCAGCCATTTGTGTTTTAGTGGAAACGTTTACATGAAGGCTTATGAACCTCAAGCTTTACTGTGGGCTCAGTCCTCATCTGCCGTTTCAGGATTTGAACAGTTAATGATTAGTAATATTAAATATGCGGTCAGTGTCTGTAGTTAGCCGTTGAGTTTTACCTTAGTTCATGGAAACAAGTTTCTGGCGCTGACCTGACTGTTCATGCTGGCACTAAATCAAGACATGTCTGTGCTTTGCATTTTATGGCTGGCGGAGAGTTTGGTACTACTGAACAGAAAGTGAAGCCAAATGGGTTTTGCCACCACACCCTACTACTACTACCGCATATGCACATGTACTGTACATCTATAATTATACAGGAATGGGCAGAGGCTCAGGAATTAAGTCACTGGTACTGTAGTTAAACAGTGGTGTGGAAACATTGACTTTCAAGTATGGCCTATATGAGAGAAAGCTGTTAAAAAACACGGTCCATAAATGAAATAAAAGAAAGCTCTAGAAAACGTGTTCTCTTTTTATTTACCTACTGTTTAATCACCTTTTATAGCAATGATCTCTAATTCCAAGAAGTGCCTACCTAACTGATCACTAGTTGCAGCTCATGTTCCATTACATTGGCAGCTGTCTTGAACTCTTCTTTCTATGATTTCTTCAATTGCCAGAAACACCATCTTTTTGGTGTTATCAGCAATAATAATGCTACATCATTAACCATGGCATTTTCACCAAAGGCTTCCTGGTGCAACACAACTGCAGTTCATTAATATTTTAAAAGTAAAATTGAGTTAGGTATGTAAAAATATTTTACTGGGCATCACTGCATCACCCTTTCTCCCTACTGCTTCCCTATCATCATCTTGCTAGTCTTCCACCAATCCACTGGTGCTTAAAAATTGCATTATGGACTAGAAATGTGCAGAATGAAAAAACTTGTTTTGATTGATTTGTTAAGTTACTAATTAAGCTTCATTGCATTCATAGCAGAATTCATTTAGTTTAGTTTAGTTTAGTTTATTTGTTTTCGACCGGATTTGAATTTCTCCAGTAGATTCCAAGAATTCAAATCGAATCAAATTTGATTCATATTCGAAATGAATATATTGAATCAATCCAAATTCATTGTAAGAACAGCTGCTTCTATTCTATTTAAAATTCGAATTTCGGGAGATGACCATATTCATTCTCTTTCTTTTTATTCTATTCGTTTCTATTCTGTGCTATTCTATTCTATTCTTTTGTATTATATTCCTTTATTTCCTATTCTTTTCTTTCTATTCTATTTTTTTATTTTCTATTCTATTCCTTTATTTTCTATTCTTTCATTTATTCTATTCTATTTTTGTTCTATTTTTTTCTTTTCTATTCTATTTTATTCTATTCTTTCTGAAATTTGAATTTCAGAAGACAGTTATATTCTTTCCATTTTATTCTTTTCTAGTTGAAATTTGAATTTCGAAAGACTGCTATATTTTTTCTATTTTATTCTATTATATTCTATTATTTTTCTAATCCTTTATTTTGTATTCTAGTGTTTTCTATTCTATTGTTTTATTCCATTCTTTTTGAAATTTGAATTTCAGGAGATGGCTATATTCTAACACTAATACACACAGTCTTTTGAAGGAAATCAGCAATCATCAGCAGTATGTTTGAATTTGTTTCAAAATCGATTTGAAGTATTTCAGATTAAATTTAATTTTGTTATTTCTGATTAATTTAAATTTGTTACTATTGTAATTCAGAAATTCAGATACATCTGAGTCTCTGAAAAACAAAAATTTTATCCAAATTTGGATTCAGAACGAAACTAACCGCACATGTCTATTATGGACTTTAGACTGCATTAGAAGTCAGCGATGTGATGACCACGTAACACTTTTGCTGTGCAGCTTTATCTGTCATATTTGTGAATGAAAAATACAAAAAAAAACCCTTGTTAATATTATAATATAGTTTAGAAAATTATGAAAGTCTACTTCCACACCCATATGGTCAGTTTCGGTCTGAAGTTGTCGTGCTCAGGTTGTATTGTAATTAAAAAGAAAAGCAATACCCTACCTACACTACCAATCTCCATTTGAAGTCACTTAGCCTTTCTAATCTAGTCCAAACATTTCTGTGCTTGTTAAAGGAAACTATTTCTGAGGTGACCATGCAGGCTGCCATTGCCAACTTCTCAGATAAGGACATTTGACTTTGTTCTAATTATTCTGGTCTACATACTTGTTTTGGCTCAGTGGCTCAGTGTTGAAGCCAGTGCATTAGCAAAAGACTTAAAAACAGGGTCACAATCCACAGAGCTGTATGCTATGATTGGGGGTTTTATTATGTAAATGGTGATCATAATGCCAAGACCTGTTGTATTTTTGCCATTAAATAAATGTTACTTAAATAAACCCTCTAATCATTGCATACAGTTCTGCAGACTGTCTTCTTGTTCTTCTGTGTACTTGTAGCCCAATCAAGGCTGGGGTTAAAGAGAGGGGTGGCAGGCAGAAATTACTTGCTTTTCCTAGCAGCAGCAATGCATGGCAAGTAGCATTTTCTGAAGACAGTCAGCAATGAAAGCTTCCATTTCCTGCTGCCTCCACGGCAGCATACCTATGGTTGGTTGCTCTGCCCACAACCAACCCACAGGACCACATTAACTCTATAAAAGAAAGACTGGGATCCTTCACACTCTATACTTTTTTCTGTCCTCAAGCCTGCAGGATCACGCATATCAGCCCTTACCACACCATTGTGGTGCAGCCATTACAGGTTTATGCTCTCCTGTAGTGAGGTCCCGGTACTTAGGCTGCTAAATGTGCCAACAAGTAGGGAAAGCCCTGTTTTTCTGCAGATCTTTTTTGGGGGGCTAGGAGAGATCACAGAGGGTAAGATAACATTTCCTCTCTTTCTCTCCCTATGATCTCTATCTCCTCTTCTGCTTCGTGGCAAACCGGGACTCTGAGAGGTATCTGCATTCTGTTGGAATCCGGGAACATGTAGCCTTGGACCCCCCCCTTCAAGCTATACCTTTCCCTTGCAGATCGCAAGGTTGGAAGGATGTATGGGGACCTGGAAACATGCCCCTCCACTGGATTCCGATTGCCCAACGGATCAAATTCAAAATCCTAACACTGACATACAAAGCTGTCCATCATACTGCCCCAAACTACATCACCGACCTAATATCCAAGTACCACCCTACACGCACTCTCCGCTCCTCACAAGACCTCCTTCTCTCTAGTTCCCTAGTCTCCTCCTCCCATGCCCGCCTCCAGGACTTCTCCAGGGCGTCACCCATACTCTGGAACTCCCTACCCCAATCGATCAGACTATCACCTACTCTCCTCTCCTTTAGACGCACCCTGAAAACCCATCTCTTCAGGGAAGCCTACCACACCCCCTGCTAATTCCCGACCTCCTCCACTCTTCCTACCACTCCATCCCCCACAGCTATTTCCTCCTGTACCAGTATCCCCTCCCTCCTAGATTGTAAGCTCCAAGGAGCAGGGCCCTCGAACCCCTCGTGTATCGCATTGTATTGTTATTGTACTGTCGCATGTTCTGTCTCCCATTGTAATGTACAACGCTGAGCGAACTGTTGGCGCTTTATAAATACTGTATAATAATAATAATAATGCCCCTCCTTCTGGGACTGGAGACTCAGCTATTCCAGTGGTGGGGGACAGGATGTGCCATAACGTAAGCACCGCGCACATGTGCTGTAATGTGGAGAGACCGGCGGTGGTGTATAAGGTTTATATATATTTACTGTATATAAACACTATATTGGAAAAAGTATTGGGACACCCCTCCAAATCATTGGATTCAGATGTTCCAATCACCTCTATGGCCACAGGTGCATAAAATCAAGCACCTAGGCATGCAGACTGTTTCTACAAACATTTGTGAAAGAATGGGTCGCTTTTAGGAGCTTAGTGAATTCAACTGTGGTACCGTGATAGGTTGCCACCTGTGCAATAAGTCCATCTGTGAAATTTCCTTGCTAATAAATATTCCACAGTCAACTGTTAGTAGTATTTTAACAAAGTGGACGCAACTGGGAACAACAGCAACTCAGCCACCAAGTGGTAGGCCACTTAAAATGGCAGAGCCGGGGTCAGCACATGCTGAAGCACACAGTGTGCAGAAGTTGCTGTCTGCAGAGTCAATAGCTAAAGACCTCCAAACTTCATGTGGTCTTCAGATTAACACAACAACAGTGCATACAGAGCTTCATAGAATGGGTTTCCATGGCCGAGCAGC